CGAGCTGGCAAAACGTCCTTAGAGGACTAAAACTGATGGTTCAGGTTAGCATGTGGGTGATGGGAAGGTTCGGATGTGCTGAAATGTGCTTGATCGGTACAGCGCCCACGGACATCCCATCACTCTGACGCCGCATTGGGATTTGCACACAGAAAAAACCCTCTTCGCGTGAAGGTGACAAAAAAAGAGCAATTTTGGCATTGGTGTCTGACATGGAGGGTGACTGACCAAGTGTTTGTTACCAACACGTTGGGAGTGAGAATGCGTTGCTTTCTTATCTTAAATTGTTTTTGTTTTTGTGAAGCACCTCGTGGTTTATATCTTGAGGAGCTAAATAAGAGTTTGTTTATTATTTTTTTCTGCCTGCGTATCCATTGGTATTTAAAACCACCAAAAGTATTTTTAACAACGTTTTAGTATCAGGCGAGGCATTGTAGCTGAAGCTATACTGCTCCACCTGAGTAAAACTGGAAGGCTTGTCTTCAATACTCGGACATCAGTTCTGATTGCTTTACAGTGGGACAGGACTCAAAGAAAAGTATTATGAGTGGGAAATAATTCCTTCTCCAAGCTTTATTCAACCTGCATCACATGTAGCAGTCTTAAGCCGGGCGTACACTGTGCGACTTTTTCACTTTTTTGAGCCAATTTTCCACTCGTGCGAGAATCCACGAGATCGGGGCGAGTTTTGCGCCGAGCGTCGTGTAGTGTACAGGGGGTTACGAGAGGCGATTAGCACCACGTGACCAGCTACCGATCAGCAATCGTGAGGTCGCACGGACTTCTGGCGTGTTTAATATTTCGCTCGTCCCTCGTGAGGGTATCGCACTGTTGAAGCGGCACTGCGAGCAGCTGCGATCCAAAATGTATCAGAACCGCTCACGGCATATGCGCAATCCTGCATCAACGCCGCTCGCTCGCTATTTCCCTAATAACACACGCTGTTCGTTTTTGTTTCTACACGTTTTTTTTACTCACAAAGATTGTCAAGAAAGCGTGTTTGTCGTGTTCATGTCAAATTAAACTCATCACAAAACACAGATTTACTTTCTTTATTTCATTTTCCTCATCCAACCCCCATAAATCCCTGTGTGTCCTCCTGCAGCACTCCCGAAGGACAACAGGCAAAACAAGACCAAAAAGTCTGACGTGTTGAGTAAAATCTGCTTTTTTTAGCATGTTTTTAGGGCCGACGTGTTGCTACCAGACGTACAGTGTGAGCAGTCAGGTCGCATCCGAGAACTGGGTCGTGCAGTTTGAGCACATGACTCGTGAGATCTGCCCTGCGAGGAAGTCGTACAGTTTGAGCTGAAGCTGAGTGCTACGAGTGAAAAAGTCACACAGTGTACGCCCGGCTTAAGGCATCCATTTTAACAGAGAGGGTGCTCGCTGCAGACCTACAAAGGCGGAGCTGCACCATAAGGTGGAGCTGCACCAGAGTCAGCCCCGCCCATTCACACAAACTCAGCCTAGCCCACTGACTTCCGTTTTTGTTTTTCCAACTTTATCGCAAACTAACCTAACCCACATGAATTACGGCTGTTACTAGTTTACAGTCGTTAATGCTATGGTCTATGCTTCAATTAAACAAGATAAATATAACTTGCTACTTGACAAAGCCTGAATATATCTCAAAATGAATAGGTTTCTTCTGACGAATATCTACCCACAGCCGCTTCAAGAAAAGTGGTGTACAACAGCACATTTGATTAACATATGTGTTCTAGTAGTCCAGTGGCGAGATTGTCTCAATGAAGTTTTGCTTTCCCCTCAGCTGATGCTGGTTCGATTCTCGGTGAGGTCGGCAACAATCTATTTAGCCAGCTGAAACATTTAATTTGTTTATATTTTAGTTGTAATGTTTATTTTCAGCTAAATATTTATGTCTCTAAAAGTTCTTTGGATTTGGTCGTTCCTAAACAGTATTTTAGTTGAAACTCTGCTCACAAATGGACTCACACTGGCTAAATAAACAAATAAATAAATAAACACATTAGTCATTATATGTTAAACGGTATACCAGTAAATTGTTGTAAACATAGTACTGGCAAGTGTAGCTAGAAATGAAGAAAAATGATTTTAAACAACATTATATTTCCTCTACCGGGAGGCGAACTCGTGCAATCTTGCGTGCCAACTTAACTCCATAACCACTATACCACCACATCTGAGAAAAAGCTAGTGGCGTTATATGTAATTGTGCTATCCAGTGTGTCTTTGTAGATAGATGTATGGTTTATTGGCGGTGTCTCAGTAGAAGTCATTTCAGAAATAATTTGTCAGAAAATTGACAGAATATCCAGATTTGAGAACCAAGACCAGACCCGCTTCGGGGGAGGAGACCAAATTGAAGCTGAGATGGGAGGACAATGCATGAATGAGGCCAAAAACGGCTTTGGCGTGTTTCTTATGAGGAAATGACAATATAACATGATAAAAAGTTCCAAAAGTTCGATTTTTAATTATATGGAACCTTTACAAAAACTGTTCAATTAACTTCTCAACTCCGTCCTCAATTTTTTAGCTATAACACCCTCTTTGGTTCCAGAATGCTATCAAGTCTGACAACTAGAAGGAATTGGACTGACTTATGGAATGGGCGGAGCTGATTCTGGAATGGGCGGGGATGACTCTGGTGCAGCTCCGCCTTCTGGTGCAGCTCCGCCTTTGTGGTTCTGCAGCGAGCACCACTTGTTTTAACACCCTCATTCACTTCTTCTCACTCTAACCTACGCGCTCCTTTCTTACACTGCCCCCTAGTGGTAGACACTATAAAGTGCTTATCTTTTTGTACCTACAACTGGCTGAACAACTTAACTCCTTTTATGCAAGGTTTGAAGTGCAACACCCCTCCCCCACACCCCCTACTGCACAGGTTTCTTCAGCCACTCTGGTGTCACATGCCTCCCCTACCACCTTCACCACTGTGAATAGTACAGTCCCCGCTGACCACCCCTCCCCCTCCACTGCCTTCTCAGTGACAGAAGAGGATGTGCTTAGGCTTTTCCGTAAGCAAAACCCACGGAAATCCCCGGGCCCGGACGGTGTCTCCCCCGCTACCCTGATACACTGCGCAGAGGTACTGTCTCCAATCTTCACGGACATCTTTAACATCTTCTTGGAGTCCTGCCATGTTCCAGCCTGCTTTAAGCTGTCCACCATTGTCCCTGTCCCTAAGAAACCCCGTATCACTGGACTGAATGATTACAGGCCTGTGGCGCTGACGTCTGTAGTCATGAAGTCTTTTGAGTGCCTGGTCCTCCCTCATCTCAAGTCCTTCACCTCCCCCCACCTGGACCCTCTGCAGTTCGCATACAGAGCCAATAGGTCTGTAGATGACGCCATCAACCTGGCCCTTCACTTCATCCTGCAGCACCTGGACTTCCCGGGAACCTACGCTAGGATCCTGTTTGTGGAATTCAGCTCTGCGTTCAATACCATCCTCCCTGCTCTGCTCCAGGACAAGCTCTCCATGCTCAACGTACCCAATTCCACCTGCAGGTTTATCACTGACTTCCTGATGGACCGAAGGCAGTGCGTGCGGCTGGGAAAGAATGTTTCCACCGCTAAGACTATTAGCACAGGATCTCCACAGGGCTGTGTACTTTCTCCTCTGCTCTTCTCCCTGTACACAAACTGCTGCACCTCGAGCCATGACTCCGTTAAACTGATCAAGTTTGTGGACGACACCACCCTCATCGGGCTCATCTCTGACGGTGATGAGTCCGCCTACAGGAGGGAGGTGGAACGGCTGGTGTACTGGTGCAGCAGCAACAACCTGGAGCTCAATGCTCAGAAGACAGTGGAGATGATTGTGGACTTCAGGAAAGTCACAGCCCCATCTCTCCCCCTCGTCCTGACGGACACCCCCGTCACCACTGTGGACTCCTTCCACTTCCTCGGAACCACCATCACACATGACCTTAGGTGGGAGCCATCCATCAGCTCCCTGCTCAAAAAGGCCCAGCAGAGGTTGTACTTTCTGCGGCAGTTGAAAAAGGCCAAGCTGCCGGCCCAGATGATGGTGCAGTTTTACACGGCCATCATTGAGTCCATCCTCACCTACTCCATCGCTGTGTGGTACGCTGGAGCCACAGTGAGGGACAAAAATAGACTGCAGCGCATTGTGCGCTCTGCTGAGAAGGTGATTGGCTGCAGCCTTCCATCTCTCCAGGACCAGTACGTCTCCAGAACTCGGGGGCGTGCAGGTCGGATAGCAGCTGACCCTTCACACCCGGGTCACAGACTTTTTGAGCCGCTTCCCTCAGGCAGGAGGTTACGGTCCATCTGGACCAGAACCTCCCGCCATAAGAACAGCTTCTTTCCATCTGCCGTTAGACTTGTGAATAGCTTATAAACACGCAACCATGCTGGTCTTCTGTACTTGACACAACGTCACGTTATCGGCCATGTTACCATTACCTGCCTTTTTTTATAGCTGAAAGTTTTATGCTAGTTTTATTCTATTTTAAATCTTATTATTCATGTTATATGTAGCACATTAGTACCGAAGCAAGTTCCTAGTTTGTGAATTGTTTGTTCACTGACAGTGGCAATAAACCTATTCTGATAAAAAAAAAATACTTAGCTCATCTTTCATGCTGGAACTTCTAAAATGATTTTTCTTGAGTTCTGCTCAACAGGAACCTTAGAGAAGATTTTATACTATTTCTATATATAAAGAACAACTTGGACAACCGGGTTTACTTCGGGGGCCACAAAGAGGGGGCCCGCCTATTGATTACCTCTGATTTAGAAAGTCTTTGAAGTGAAAAATAAATTACAATATTTAGAAACTGTTAGATTCATATACACAATGTGTGTGTGTGTGTGTGTGTGTGTGTGTGTGTGTGTGTGTGTGTGTGTGTGTGTGTGTGTGTGTGTGTGTGTGTGTGTGTGTGTGTGTGTGTGTGTGTGTGTGACATCTGAACACACACAGCTCTTTCCTGATGATAAGGAGGGTATTTAATCATCCTTATCGATCTTTCTCCTCCCACGAGCACAAGCACCAAAACCCTGCCTCCTCTGGATAAATCAGGTCCGTTCACAGAAAGCTTCTGGTGTGGAGAGACAGAGTGAGATACAATGGCAAAAGTGCACATCTGCTTAAGATGGAGTTACACTGTCTTGATAAGTGTGATGGGGGTAAGTGTTTTTTGTTATTTAAATCAACTAAATCCATTCAAAACTTGTGTGTGTTATTTCAAGTGTCTTGTGGATTACAGTCTAAGAACTTGCTGATAAGTTTATCTTTTTCCTGTGATGTTGGGTAGATAGAGGATCAGTAAACATGATATTTTTGCAAATTTTCACTTAATTTTTTATACAGTCTGTTTTGGTTACCAGTTAGATAAATACCCCAAAGTCTGTAAAACAGAAGAGCCCAGTCCATCAGTGTATAAACTCACCATGAAAATATTCTCTAGCAGAAGATTGAATCCAGATTAAAGATGCTTGCACATGGTACAGGATGGGGATCCAGATATCCAGATGGTGTGGTGACTCTGATGGGTGGATGTAGAGTTGTTGGAGCTCGACAAAATGGAAAAATAAAGAGTTCAGAAAGTGCAATTCCTTTTCAAATTGCAACTTTCTTACACTCATAATAACTTAATCCAGATTTTTCTTTACAATCTAAAATATTTAAATGACTTTCTGGCAAAAGTGTTTGATTGTGCCACCCTGATGTTGCATTTCCCATTATTGTGCAAAAATAAACACCCTCCCGGTTGTAGCTCTGAAAAATGTATTGTTGTTGTCAGATCATCAGTTTGCTGTTGCTGGGATTACTCGCATCAATTCAAGGGAGCTTGCAAAATGATGCAAAGGTAACGCACACCAGAAGCGGAGAGATCCTAAACTGGTAGCAAAGCAATAATTAAGTGATCAGCTAAAATTGAAAAATTGTATTACAAAGTGTTACAAACATGAAATGCTACTGTTTTCTGAAAGAAACATCTTTTGTAATGTGTGTGTGTGTGTGTGTGTGTGTGTGTGTGTGTGTGTGTGTGTTACACAGGAATATGGCGTTAGTGTGGGGTTTGTCATCTGTTATGTTTTCCTAAGTATAACTCTGTTATTCACACTCATTGGTGGATTTGGGATCAGTGCAGACAAGCAATGGGCGCTGATGGTGGTAGGTGGAGGACAACACTTGTGTTTAAGATTTAAAACCTGAATCAAATGAAAGCTCAACTTGTGACTTCTGTGTGATTGTGTCAGTTTGCAGCTGGAACGATCCTGTGCAGCCTCTTTCTGCTCTTCTTAATATTTAGTTCCTTGGCTTTCCGTCATGAGGTATTACTCGTTAAATGGTAATGTTTTTCAGTAAGAGTGTTTTTGTGTACATAAATGCATTTAGTGAGATCTAAAGAGGCTTAGGACATATACTGCACAATTTTATATTTTTATTTTAATATTTTATGTTGCATAGATGGAAAACAAGCCAAAGGAGGTATTCCTCAGGTTCTTGCATCTGACAAGAAGCGAAGAAAGTGAATCAAGTTTCACTTCAGAAATTCAGAATATAGTAAGTAACCACGAGTGGATTTGTTGGTAAGCTGAGTTTTACAGAGAATCCTTTTTATGGTTTTTACTGTGGACTGAGCATGATATATATATATATATATATATATATATATATATATATATATATATATATATATATATATATATATATATATATATATATTTATATATACCCTGACCCTAGGTGCAAAAATAAGCAACCCTTAATCCTATTAACAGTCTTAGTGATGAAAACCCGAAAAAAGGCATTTGTGAGCACTGCGTGAAATCAGAGGAATTCTGTTGCAACTTTCTTGAGAAAAAATTGCTTTAATTCAGCAAAATCAATAATATTCTAGTACCACTAGCCAGGGGCGCCCCCAGAAATTTTTGATTAGGGTGGCCAGATGGGGCCAAAGAAAATCTTTGGTTGGCACACCAAATTGGTATTTGTGATAACTCTTGGAGGGTTTAGCCTGTGGCGATGCATTGAATTACTCATTTCGTGTTTTTATATTAAAGAACAATATATATCTAAAATACTTAACTCAAATTTGAGAAACACAAACATTTCAGTTTTTTGAAAAGTAATTTCAAAATGTATTTTTGGAATCTTATTTATTTTTGTTTAATACACCTGTTGCTGTCTTTACAAAAAACTATGGAGATATAAACTTTTTTTAATGGTGAGCAGTAGAAAAAAATGTATAAAAAATATTTTAAAACTTAGTTTGAGCAGAAAAAGATCGAATTAAAGCATGAGATTACAGATAGACAATTTCTGCTCAAACAGGAATTAAATATTCAACTTCTCAGAGAGAATCTGCAGGAAGGCTGCATGTTGGAGTAACTCTGACGATTTCAATTCAATTCAAAAATACTTTATTAATCCCAGACGGAAATTGATTGCTGTAGTAGCTCAGAATAATAATAATAAAGTCATCAAAGAGTTATTGTATATTACGATGGCTGTTGGCAGGAAGGATCTCCGGTAGCGGTCAGTGTTGCAGCGAAACTGAAGAAGCCTCTGACTGAAGACACTCTTCTGTTGTCAGACAGTCTTGTGAAGAGAATGCTCAGGGTTGTCCATCATTTTCTTGATTCTCTGGAGAATCCTTCTTTGCATTATCTCCTCCAGCGGTTCAGAAACTGCCAAAACTCTGGCTGAGTCCTTGAAAGGACTTGGAGTTCCTCCATCTTGTTGGCCAGTGATCTCACATTGCCCATTATGATCGATGGAAGAGATGGTTTGAATTTCCTCTTTCTCTGTCTCTGTTTTGCTCCCGCTCTGCACCCACGCTTCTTGCGTTTTAGCTCATTTGGGATTTGTGGCTTCAGTTGAGGTATTATTTCATCCTTTCCAATGTTAATCAGCTGCTAAAGATTTTGTAAACCTGCTTGTTGCCATGGTTACGCATCATAACAAATGCTCAAAAGGTGAAAAAAGCTAAAAAATAGCAGTAAAAATCCTCCAAGCTTCACAGCACCAGAAACAGAAAAGTAAAGTGTTCAAAAAATGCAGTTTTTCTTGAGAAACTAGAAGAAAAAATGCCCAAGAAAAGGCAAAACTTACATATAGAGCTCCGGGAGTTGACGTCTCTTCTCCCAGCATGCAACAGTTCAAATCGAAACGGCACCATTTTGGCAGGCAGAAGCCGGCAGCTAGACTATTTGTTGTCATAAATCTCACATGGGAAATATGGTCGATTCCTGTTGTGCCCCAGGATGCCAGAACAGACGGGGACAAGTCAAGGGAAGATCCTTCTACAGGATTCCCCAAGATCCGGAGCGCCGCAAACGTTGGATCATTGTAATAAAACGCCCTAGAGACTGGGCTAAAATGAAACTGTGGGACCCCGAGAGTAAAGGTTTTCACTTATGCAGCGACCGCTTCATATCAGGTGCTTAAACTAACGTTTCCTCAACTGTGTATGGTATTTATTTGAAATGCTTTTATTACGATTCTTAGCAGGCTTCCTAAACTTATTTTGGCGTGGCTTTTTCTGTCTTATTACTCATAGTAACAAGTAAACGTCACGTAAAACGTTGCCTCGTAATTTCTGCGTGCTGCCGTTTACGTGTTTTATGATCACAGCAATTAACCGGCTAAGCTGTATTTAAATTTTAAGCAATGGTTGATCAATTGTCAGATCACACATTAAAAAGCACTTTGGATTGCTATTATCTGTCTCACCGAGACAGCTCTCAGACAGATCCTGAGACGCTCCTGCCTGACATATTTATTTTATTCACGGAAAAAAAAATCAAACTAGTGATTTCTCTTGGCGTTCAGTTTATACATTCAAACAGCACAGCACTCTATTTAAACTACTTACGTGTAAATCTGTTATTTTTCCATCCATCCATCCATTTTCATCCGCTTATCCAGAGTCGGGTTGCGGGGGCAGTAGCGTCGAGAGGCCCTGACTTCCCTCTCCCCAGCCGCCGGAGCTAGCTCCTCCGGGGGAATCCCAAGGGGTTCCCCGGCCAGGTCCGGTAAGAAGTCTGCTCCGACAGCTTCTGGCGTCCCCTTGGGATTCCCCCGGAGGAGCCGGCTCAGGCGGCTGGGGAGAGGGAAGTCTGGGCCTCTTGACGCTACATGTCCCCCCCCGGCAAAAAAAATGTACGTCCATGGACTCTATATGATGAGACAAAATGTTTGAAAGCTGAAAACATTCATCTGGAGTTTATTAAAGCTGTAGAAGAAGCTAAAAGTGATTTCAATGAAAGTCTAAAAGGATTTAAATGAGAGTTTAAAATGTCTGATCATTCTGATCATTGCGAGTCTGTGTGTGTATGTGTTTGTGGGGGTGCAGTGTGTGCGTGCGTGCATGTGGCAAGGACGGGGAGCATCAAGCATTAATCAAGCCTGGGGCATCAAATTGGGTAGAGTCAGCCCTGGTGTTACCTGACACCTGATGATAGGCACTGTCATCATAGGTAGGCAGCCTTGGGGATCAACCCAGCGGCATGATGACTGAACTTTCTGGAACTGCGCTGCTCTGGGTGGCTGCATGTTGGAGTAGCTCTGTTGACGATATGTAAGTTTTGCCTTTTCTTGGACATTTTTTCTTCCAGTTTCTCAAGAAAAACTGTATTTTTTTGGACATTTTACTTTTCTGTTTCTGGTGCTGTGAAGCTTGGAGGATTTTTACTGCAATTTCTTTGCTTTTTTCACTTTTTGAGCATTTGTTATGATGCATAACCATGGCAACAAGCTGGTTTACAATCGGGAGCAGCTGATTAACATTGGAAAGGCTGAAATATTACCTCAACTGAAGCCACCAGAGGTGGAAAGTAACTAATTACGTTTACTCACATTACTGTAATTGAGTAGCTTTTTTTGTTTATTTATACTTTTTAAGTCGTTTTTAAAATCTGTACTTTTACTTTTACTTGAGTACGTTTTTAAAAAAGAATTGTAATTCGCTAATGAGGACAAGCAGCCATTTTTACCGCAGTTTTGCTCAAAAACATCAGTTCAGTCCCTGTGATCCACTCGCTGTTTACCTCCTCTTTCCCTCCTCAGCTGTGGGAGCTCTGTGAAGCTGACCCCCATCAGCTTCAAAAGTGCAGGCAAATGGGCTGCTCGGTTATGACTAGAGGGGTGAGGAGGACTAATGCAAACAAATGGGAATTACAAGGGAGTTACTAGGAGGAAAACATGAGGAAAGCCTAGAGGGAGCTGGGGAACACAAGAAGACACATGAGGAGAACCTGAGGGAGAACAGGAGGGGACTGGGGACCAAGGGGACACAGAACACGACACATTCACCTGGAGAACCAGAAATTAGAGTTTTTAAACTCTAAAGAAAAATTTGAACAGGACGTAGCAGAGAAACGACTGACTCTTTACTCTAAATGCATACATTTTTTCATTGTGTTTTACATTTATGTCTTGAATAAATATCATTACTTTATGGTTTGAGTGAACATATGATTTATCAACACTGGTCTTTTCTGGGGAGGCAACAACTTTGTAGGGGTGGCCATGGCCACCCCTTGGGAGTGCCACTGCCACTAATTAGTACCACTTAACAAAAAAATAAAAAAAACTCTCACTCATGACCTCTGGCATTAACCCTAACCAAGAGAGACTTGCAGTGCTTTAGATGTTTTGAGATCCAGTTTCTTGATGTGAGACACATCTTATTTTGAAGATATTTATCCATCCTATAGGCCTGGTAGTATTCTGGCTAGAATGTGGCTTGCTGCCCCTAATGTCAAATTTCCAAAAGTGGTTAATCGGTTAATTCATTTGAGTACTTTTCCACATAGACCAGGTTAGTTTGGCTTGTTCTATTGTCTGTTTGAATAAAGAAGTTGTTTGAAAAATGCCTTTTTGTGTTTCCTCAGATCATCCTGATTTTGAAATCTATTTGCTGAAACATTGAATTGTGACAAAAAGGCCATCATTTGTAATAGCTGTAATATTCTCTTCTATTGTTTTCTTCAGTTCCATTGCTGTGGTCTGGAGAGTTACACGGAGTGGGGAAATGACATTCCAGAATCGTGTGTGTGCACTGAGGGGTCTACTAACAAATGTACTAATGTAAGTTTCAAACACTTTGATGCTTCTTATTGTAGTTAAGTGTATTTATGGGTGTAAAATAGCATTTGCATTAGCTATGAGACACCAGGACTGATTCTGTCTAATTTACGGTTGCCTTTCTAGTGATTACCATTAAATATTTATGTTTGGTTGTTTTTTCGATTCAGGTCAGTGTGGAGTTGCAGACCACAATGATTCATTCTGAGGTAAATACAAATCATCACAAACCCTAATGGAGTTTGGATTCAGCTGTAAGTTGACACTTAGAAATGGTCTCAGGGGTCTTGGGCATCATCTACGCTGGCTGCTTTGTGACTGATATAACGTATTATTGAATATATAATTATATTACTTAATAAAACAAAATTCCTTTGTCTCACACTAACAACCACAAAAATACATGCAAGAATTAAAAGTAGCTCATAAAAATGAAAGAGATACAATCCAGCTTTTTCATATTTTTTAATAATTTTCTTGTATGTGTAAAATTGCCCTTTATAGGGTTAATGAAATGTCACTGTTACAGCCTGGCTTGTGAGATTGCAACATAAGGAGTAGGCCTGGACACATAGTGGGAGTTGAGTTTTTTTTTTTTTTTTTTTTACTTTTAAATCAGCCTCCAAAAGGTCTCACCCACTGCCACTCAGGCAGGAGCTATCAAGGAGATCTCTCTGAGCAGTCTCATGCCTTTGGAGTTGCACCAAACAGCCTTTTATGCTGCATCCCCAGGTTCAGCCACTCATAATCAATTGCAGGCTACACAAAGCCAGACCAATGGTCACAGAGGGCCGTGGGCATGGACATCCTAAGTAGCCAATCAGCTGGTCGCACTGGCACAGCAACATTTGTTTGTCAGTTGGGAGCATGGTTTCTCATTGCAGCAGCTGTAACAGGCAATCAGACCTCTACCGCCCTCTGTGGGCAGAATTCTACATTTGCAACTTCAGAGTGTCGGGCCGCCACCTGTGGACCTACACTGCAGTCTGCTTCCAGCTCATTTCCTGCGTGTTATAGGTGATGAACATAGCTGATTTGTTTGATCTGGTGATGAACCACTACCGTAGACACTACGGAAGACTGAGGAGACATTTCAGCCAAGGCCGGATTAACCATATGGGCCCACGAACTCTAAGGGGCCCAGGGCAGTAAGGGCACGAGCAAAATACTGTAGGCATATCTGTAATCTCCCGCATTATATTAAACTAGGGTGACCGTATGTCCGGTTTTCCCCGGACATGTCCACTTTTCACTCTCTGTCCGGGCGTCCGGACTGGGGGTTCTTGTATTGATGAAAATGTCCGGCTTTTCATCCAGGAGCAGGGATTGACCTATGGGGGAGCTGTATATCCTACACATCCAGGGGAGCCGGAAACAAGTTTTCTACCTATATTACATCATTTATGGGCTCTTCTGAGCATAGAGTGGCACAGCGCGTTCTTGCGCAGCGCTCCAGGCTGCTGCTTCCAACGCACGGTCCATTCTCAAAGTGGCGCAACCAAAAAACTATAATTAGCACACGATCGTTCATGTCTGCACATGTTCTCTATTTTCTGTCTTATTTGAGCCTGAAGCGCTCTGCTACTGCGCAGCTCATCACCTGTGCTGCGTGGTGCTGCGGTGATTTCACCTCACTGACGCAGCAACGAAAGGCGCACTGCACTTTGCGGTCAGGAGATCCCTTTGATCTGCTGAAAAGTAACTGATGAGGTGAAAAAGTAAGAATCTAGGCAGCAGATTTTCTGGAGAGTTTAGAGGAGATGCAGGAAGATGAGAGACAGACAGGACAGGAAAATAGTTCAATAAAAACAAGAAAACTAAACAAAGTGTTGAAAAGTAAAATGTATGTGGATTTATCTCCACTACACGTTTTTACCTGCAAAACAATAAGTTCTACACATGTAATATTTATACAGTTGATACAGTTCAGATCACCTTCAAAACTCAGTCACACACCCAGGGCCGTTTCAAGACATTTTGGGGGCCAAGGCAAAATGACCCCACCCACCCCCATAACTGGGCTCCCCAGAAGCCTCTGTGTAGTTCATACACTCTCCAGTAGTGTTAGTTACACAGTGTTTGTAAAAAAGACTCAGACATTACTGTCATGTTCTAATATTATCAGATGAAAAACTAAATTATCACACATGCTGTCTCATCCGCTGCTTTTCTAAACTTGCAAAAAGTAACAAAATCATTTGAAAGCCACTATTTGTGGATTCTCTGGAAGTTTCCATGGAGTGTGTGACAACTTATTTTATCATTGACCCTATCGTCTCACAGCTGAAACAAGCATCCTTAATAATCTGTGCACAGGAAGTTTACCGATGCTGTAGTAAAACAAAAGGTATAATAATTTATTATTAATACAATCTTGTTGCAGCACTAAAGCAGAAAAATGAGATTTTCCATTAAATATGCTAAATATTTACATATGAATTGTTTTAGAGCCCTTTTATTGGCAGAATCTGATATTAATTTAGTTCTTACAAAAAATGGGTCCCAACATGGTTTGTGTGGTGTTGCCATAGTGTGACGTCATAGGCACAGATCCCCTGTCCTCCTTTTTGGAAATGGAAATATGATCACCCTATATTAAACAAACTGTCCACCCGAGCTTTTGCGCTGCACAGAGACGCTTCGCTGCCTATGACTTTGAACGTCAGTTGAGAGTCAGTCTCATGCAGACTGACCAATGAAGAGAGGGCATCAAGTTAAGACCCTCTCCTCATTGGTCAGTCCACACAAGGTGGGCCAAAGGTTACTCTGGGCGGGTTACGTGATGTGAGGCATTCAAGTATTGAGTATATTTACTGCATATTACAGTAAAATATTCTGTATGTGACCATATTATGGTGATCCTCGGGTCGTGATGATGGGGCCTTTGAATATTGTTGCCCAGGGTACAATTCAATTCAATTCAAAAATACTTTATTAATCCCAGAGGGAAATTGATTGCTGTAGTAGCTCAGAATTATAATAATAATCAAGTCATCAAAGAGTTGTTGTATATTACGATGGCTGTTGGCAGGAAGGATCTCCAGTAGCGGTCAGTGTTGCAGCCAAACTGAAGAAGCCTCTGACTGAAGACACTCTTCCGTTGTCGGACAGTCTTGTGAAGAGAATGCTCAGGGTTGTCCATAGTTTTCTTGATTCTCTGGCGAATCCTTCTTTGCATTATCTCCTCCAGCGGTTCCGAAACTGCCGAAACTCTGGCTGAGTCCTTGAAAGGGCTTGGAGTTCCTCCATCTTGTTGGCCGGTGATCTCACATTGCCCATTATGATCGATGGAAGAGATGGTTTGAATTTCCTCTTTCTCTGTCTCCGTTTTGCTCCCGCTCTGCACCCACGCTTCTTGCGTTTTAGCTCATTTGGGATTTGTGGCTTCAGTTGAGGTATTATTTCAGTCTTTCCAACGTTAATCAGCTGCTCCCGATTGTAAACCAGCTTGTTGCCTTGGTTACGCATCATAACAAATGCTCAAAAAGTGAAAAAAGCTAAAAAAAATAGCTGTAAAAATCCTCCAAGCTTCACAGCACCAGAAACAGAAAAGTAAAAGTGTCCAAAAAAATACAGTTTTTCTTGAGACACTAGAAAAAAAATACCCAAGAAAAGGCAAAACTTACATATAGTCAACAGAGCTACTCCAACATGCAGCCGCCCAGAGCAGCGCAGTTCTGGAAAAAAAAGTGTCAATCTGGCCCTGATTTCAGTTATTGGATTAAGGTGTTTAAAAGACGAACACACAGCAAGGCGACATTTTATTTTTGCTTTGACCACAGATAATTAATAACAAACACCAGGGGGTGCTAAAAGCAAGCAAAACTGCTAAAGCCTGAGTCATGCATCTGCGTCTGCATCAGTGCGGAGACACACAACGCCATTATCCGTCCTTGCGAGGGCTCTCCAGCAGGCTCGCAAGGACGGACGGAGTCGAGCTCTCTTTTCTAAACATCCGTCCGTGGAGACGGAGATCGCAAGCTTGTGATGGTCAGGGCACCACTGTTGTCTACACCGCCGCAATTGCGCCCTCAAAAACATAAAGAGAGCCGAGAATAACTAGCGGCAGACGCGAAGAAGATTGAAGAATACCTCGCGAAAAAACTAAAAATATGAACGTTTAATTCCCCCGTGACTGGAGGAGTGAAAAGATACACAGCAAGCATTTTATTTGTGGACGGAAATGACAGGAAACACGGGTTTAGAGGTGGCGAGCGCATGAAGAGGTGGAGGAGGATGAGAGACAAATTTGTCTGTTAAAAAGTCTCTTAAATACAAAAAACACAATATAAACAAACTATCTTGGACCGGATACATGAAAGGATACCATAGAACAGCGCTACGCCCTCTGTTGTCCTGGCAGGGAATTGCTTTGCAACACTCTCCAGGAGACGGAGAAGTGTGAGGGCAAAATGTCTCCATCTGTGCGTGCGTGTCTCTCCCTGGTGGAGCTGACGGAGAAGCATGACTCAGGCTTTAGTATCCCTTTAACTCTTGGTTGAAGTCTAGTCTCCAAATGTATCTGCAAATGACTACAACTTTGACATGTTCCATTACCAATTCAAACAAACAAAAAAGTACAGCATTTTCAAATGAGTATTTCCAAAACGTTGCATTGACTGACCTCTCGTGTTTCAGCCGTGCCTTCCAGTCTTGATTCAACTGGCCAAAGATGTTCTGGTGGCTCTAACAGGCATACTGCTGGGACAGACATTATTTACGGTACGTACGAGTGTCTTTATTATTGTTTATTCTTTTTACACCACGTTGGAAGGTTGCAGGTTCAATCCCGGCTTTGACCAAAGAAAACTGCTGTTGTGTCCTTGGGCAAGACACTAAAGGTTGGTTTATGCTTGACGCGTCCGCGAGGCCCGCACAGCTCCGCGCGGAAAAGTTGTGTCATTTTAACAACCACGCCCCTCCACTGAGCCTCCGCACGGCCCAGAATTTCCGCAACGCGCACCTCGGAAAATTTCTAACCACGCGGATGGACGGACGCGGGAAAACATGGCAGATCGGCAAGAACTAGTATGGCAGAGGTTCGTAAAAACAGACATTTGTATGATTCAGCTCTCAAAGATCACCGTGATCAACATGTTGTTAATAATTCTTGGAGAGAAATAGCTCGCACTGTCGGAAAAGACGAGAACGCTGTTAGAAATGCTGAAATGCCATGTTGTAAACAGTAATTTCTACTTCTACTATGGTGTAGTGTTGGGTGCATGCCGTAGAGCTCCATGCTGCCCCGTTCAGTTTGGGAGAATATTGGCTCACCGCAGAGACGAGCCGCACGAACCATAAACGCTGTGAGTTGTGAAGCACGTTCCATCCGCGAGCCGCATCACCGCGCGGAAAGTGAATGCGTCAAGCATAAACCAAGCTTTACCCACCTTGCCTGCTGGTGATGGTCAGAAGGACCGGTGATGCCAGTGATTGGCAGGCCTCACCTCTGTCAGTGTGCCCCAGAGCAGCTGTGGCTACATCGTAGCTCATCCCCACCAGCGTGTGATTGATTGTGTTGTGAAGCATCTTGGGGCTTATAGAACTCTAAGAAGGTGATATACTTGGTGACAGAATGGGTTTTTATACGATATTACTCTTAAAAACACTTTATTTGACTGATTATTTTGAGCAAGCGTAGCGCTCCACAGTGCTATCTGGTGGGACCCGGTTCCACTGGCCCCTTAAGCAGTGGCATTGCTGGTTCTATTCACAAATAACACAAGCTTGGTTAAACGTGTTCCATCCATCGACATAGATTTCTATGGTATAGGTTCCATCATGTTGGTGAGTGCCGCTAGCCGAGCTGCTCTCTTCTGGTCGTAAAATCAACGCAGTCTTCTGCTAGGCAGTTCCAAACTAACCACCATCTTGAAATTATTCTTTTTATTTTCCAACAAGCAATTTCTCTTATGTCAATTGTGGATTTATTTTTGCCTCTTTACTACTCTATAAGATCCCAACACCAAACTGAACATAAAATCTTAAGAACAGGAAATAATTTTGTTTTTCTTTTCCACAGGTGTTGCCCACAGTGTTGTGTATCGCCATCTTGTGTCAAATGAACAAGAAGGTAGAAACCCTTGTACTGGCTTACAGCCCCGACGCAAAAGTCAATGAGGATCTCACAGAAACTGCAGATTCAAATGGAATCTAATCCTTTATAATAGTTGTAAAATATTTATTTTATTCCTAATTAGTTTGCATTAACATCAACATTTTTTTATCTGACCAAGAAATGACTTACTGACCTCTTAAAGGTCGTATTAAACATGTACAGAATCACCCCATTTGAAAGACTTCTATATCTTTCTTTTACAGTAAACGCAAACAAATATGTCTTTTACTATTCAAAAACAACCTACAATGTCCAGTTGAAGAACATCAAAGCTACAATTCAGAAAATAAAAAGAAATGCTGTGATTATTTAAACACACACACACACACACACACACACACACACACACACACACACACACACACACACACACACACACACACACACACACACACACACACACACCTAAACAGTACTTTTAAAATCAGTCAAGGAAGGTAACCACTATTTCTTAGACCATGGATACTGGCTATTTCACCGAGGTAAATAAACATTTTATAACCAGCACAGTCATCCTCCTAATCTGGCAGCATTCTGTTTGCTTTAGCATAAACAATGTAAGTGAATGGAAACTGTTAGCATTTCAATCATTTCAATACCTACTTTAAATCTACAAAATGTTGCATTTGGGATCATTTTAATTTCTCTCCAAGCTTTTTAGTAGGAATGTAGCAGATTTGAAGCTTTCATGCAGATTTTGTCTAAGTAAATTAATATCTTTCTGCTTGCACAACTGTAAAATGGTCTGACTGTAGCAGAAATGAGTTTAATAAATCCATGCAAACAATGTTATTTATTTTCTCAAGTTTTTATAATCTTTGAATTATGATTCTCTAATTAACAGAAATCATGATCATGTCCATGTCCATGTGAAAGTCCATTTATGTATTTGCTTTCATGAGTCTATTCAGTTCAGTTTTTTTCACCAGAGTGATCTCAAGGCATTTAATAAATTAAACATTTCAACTGAATCTGTTTAGTGCATTGTGTTCAGTTCATTATGCCATTAATTAAATGTTTCCTATGTAAGAAAACCATCAAGTCCCTGACATGTGTCAGTGACTTCAAAGCAATTCCCATACTAAGCAAACATGTAGCGACAGTGGAGAGGAAAACTCCCCTTAAACAGGAAGATACCTCTAACAGAACCTGGCTCAGTACAAGCAACCATTTGTCATGCCTGACAGAAAAATAGCTTTTGGTTTGGAGTTGTAGTTGGTATAATCCAAAAGGCAATTGAGTAATAGAGTAAATGTGCCACGTGGTATTTAGGTATTTGTTCATTTTTTGTTAGTCAAAATAAAGTAGTAGGCAATTAAACATTAAAATTGTGTCATGATCCTGCCAGGTCCTGACCTCCATGCACCCTCATTCACCTCATCAGCCTTCATGCACCACACCTGGTCCCCTCATCAAGCTCCAGCCAAGCCCTCTTTCCCCAGCAACCACAGCCAACTCACTATCAAGCTCATGCCACACACCTGCCTCACCAGTTATATATTCCACAGTCAACCACCAGCACTCTGCCAGATTATTGAACGCTCCTGCTTGTAGATCTTCCAGCCTTTTGTCATCCTGCCTGATCATAGCATCTCAACCTTGTTTCCATGTCTGACTATCACCAAGAACTCTGCCTGCCACCACGACCCTCGCCTGTCTAGGACCACGTCTCTAGCCTGCTCCCTGTACCTGCTTTGTCCCAATCTGACTTTGATCCACGCCTCTCTTCGTCTCTGCCCTTACCTGAGTATTACTCTGGTAACACCTCCTCATAGCTTCAGGCTCATAAAGATGGTTAATTGTCTTACTGTGTTTGGTGTCTTCACGGGTCCTCTAAGTTTGGGTCATGACAAATTGAAGTAAGATAAGATAAAGGTAAAAATTATAAGAAAAGTAAAAATATAATGTTTGCTTAAAGCTAATTCAACATTGGTTGTGGCCCCCCGGGGCAATCCTCTGCGCCTCTCGAGGGGGGCAGATGCTTTTCTGGTCGCAGTCTCCCTGGGGTTCCTGTGCTCTGGGGCAGCTCCTGGATCTCTGGGATTTGGAGCTCCCTCCATCTCCTACACATCTTTCAGGGGCAGATCTGTGGCCCCTCACACTCACTATTGGACACTCCTATAGAGAAATCTTACGTATACAAGAGCGTGTACGCACACAGGTGCTCACATGGTGCTCAAGTATGGACTTGGGCATGTTCAACACAGGTCTTAAGGCTGTGGTTGGCACTTAATGCAGTGTGATTTATTATTGTGTGATTGTTCAGTAAAACAATGTTGATTTTATATTTCCTCATCAGGTTGACGCAGTGATAGCTTGCTCCTGTTGTATTGTTGTGTGTCCCATTTCTTCTTTTTTTATGTTTTCTCCTTCTGCAGGTCTAGAAGCAGACTCTTGTTCATCATTGATTTGTTTGTTTTGTGGACCCCCCCCCCCCCCCCCCCTGCAATGAGGAATTACAAGCATTCAGAAAAACAACAATAATAAAGTTTTAAGTATCAGGCGTGACGTTAAAAGCAGAAGCTTTGATGCTCCACCTGAGAGTAAATCTGTAAGACTTGTCACCAGCATTCAGACATCAATTCTGTTTGCTTCACAGCCAGACAGGACACGGGGGGAAAAAAGCTAATTCATCATTAAAGCAGGATAACAGTAAAAATTGTATGATAAAAGAATGAGTAAAATCTTGGCAAAAAAAATCTAAATTTTTTTTATTCTAAGAACAGTTCGTCACCTGTGTACCATCAATTTGCATTTCCCCATCAAATGATGTTCCCCTAGCCTGGCAAGCCAGACTAAATGAATATATGATTTAGTCTGGCAATGCTCCATTGACGGCTCTCAGTTGTGGGCGGGTTTTACCGTTGTCTTTCAAATGATCTCCGCATGCTGCTGGACAATGAACAACGTGATGTACTCACTGCAACGGATGTCAGTAAATGAGGCAGTCCACTGTTGAAGAATGTTGAAACATCCTTTTTCTAAACTTTGAAAAGCCGTTTCAAACGAGCTGTCACCATCTTGTTCCACTCTGTTGCATCATCTCGCCTACCCAACGAATAGAGGGCCCTGATTGGCCCTCAAAGCAGATAAAGCGCTGTTTTAGCTGATCTTATCGTTGTTTTGTTTGTACTTTTTCATGTCTTGTAAGGTGACCTTGGGTTTTGAAAGGCGCCTGTAATTAAATGTATTATAGTGGTCAGACAAGTTCCACCGATGGAATTTTTGAGGAGTATTCCTGTTATTTAGCTTTTTTTTTGTGTATTTTACTGTGTTGTGCATTATTAATGTAGGAAGGTGCTTTATAAATTCATGATGATGATTGGTCCTGGTGACCTTGGAACACCTCAGCTAGGTCCAACATCCTCTTTCTGTTTCCATACTGAGGTTACCATGCTAACAAACCATCCCAAATAGATTTAGGCCAACATTTAAAAACTTTCCATTTCCTTAAGAAGAACATCTCTGGATATTACCCAGGTATTTGCCCAGGCTTTTATTATTGGTGTACTTTGGTTCAGCTGGAGGCTGATTTGTCCTGAAATCAAGCACAATCTCTTTTATTTTATGAAACACTTAACTGTAGATGGGAATCCTTGCACCGTTGATTGAACTAAACCACAACTGGGCCGTAACCTAAAAGTTTATCTACAGAAAACAAACTAGACACACTTTCCTCTACAGATCGTCGTCGTCTTCCTCCGCTTATCCGGGTAGCATCCCAGCATCCCAACTAGGGAGCTCCAGACCGTCCTCTCCCCAGCCACCTCCACCAGCTCCTCCGACAGGACCCCAAGGCGTTCCTGGACCAGATTGGAGATGTAACCTCTCCAACGTGTCCCGGGTCGACCCGGGGGCCTCCTGCTGGCAGGACATGCCCAAAACACCTCCCCGGGGAGGCGTCCAGGAGGCATCCTGACCAGATGCCCAAACCACTTCAACTGGCTCCTTTCGATCAGGAGGAGCAGCGTTTCTACTCTGAGTCCCTCCCGAATGTCCAAGCTCCTCACCCTATCTCTAAGGCTGAGCCTGGCCACCCTACGGAGGAAACTCATTTCGGCCGCTTGAATCTGCGATCTCGTTCTTTCGGTCATTACCCAAAGCTCATGACCATAGGTGAGGATTGGGACGTAGATCGACCGGTAAATCGAGAGCCTGGCTTTCTGGCTCAGCTCCCTCTTCACCACGACAGATCGGCTCAGCGTCCGCATCACTGCAGATGCCGAACCAATCCGCCTGTCGATCTCCCGATCCCTCCTACCCTCACTCGTGAACAAGACCCCGAGATACTTAAACTCCTCCACTTGAGGTAGGACCTCTCTCCCGACCTGGAGTTGGCAAGCTACCCTTTTCCAGTCGAGAACCATGGTCTCAGATTTGGAGGTGCTGATCCTCATCCCAGCCGCTTCACACTCGGCCGCAAACCTACCCAGCAAGAGCTGAAGGTCAGAGCTGGCTGAAGCTAGGAGGACCATATCATCCGCAAAAAGCAGAGACGAGATTCTCCTGCCACCAAACTCGACACCCTCCACACCACGACTGCGCCTAGAAATTCTGTCCATAAAGGTAATGAACAGAACCGGTGACAAAGGGCAGCCCTGGCGGAGTCCAACCCTCACCGGGAACAGGTCCGACTTACTACCAGCTATGTGGACCAAACTCATGCTCCTCTGGTAAAGAGACTGAATGGCCCTTAACAAAAAGCCAACCACCCCCCATTCTTCTGGAGCGTCCCCCACAGGGCGCCTTTCCTCTACAGATGCACCATGAAATCCTAAATACCAAAAAATGAGATCTGAATTCAGAATCATTCTGGTTGAGTCCAACCCACAGCTTCAAATCTGTTCCACAGTCGGTTCTGTTGTCTTTCCGAAAATGATCCCTCCAAGCCAGATGTGAGGAATGTAATGAAATAGATTTATTACACAACTGCCATGGCGGGGTTCTGAAAGAGCAGGGGACAACTCGGTCTTCACTGGAATGAAAAACAACAAATGCACATTCTCCAGAGTGTAAAAGAGACCTGTTCCTGCCGGTCGAGGGAAATCTGGGCTTCAGAGCCAAGATCAACTGCACAACTTCCTGTAAGTCCTGGAAACTCTGACTCCAGATGTTCATTGTTCACCTGTTTTTTAGTTTTTAGAGTAAATTCTATGATACAGGAATGTGCCTCATGTGTTGGGCGTTAGTCGCCAGGACAAACGGGAAGAACGTAAAGCATGTTGTAGCACTGAGGAGGCTGTTTTTCATCAGCAAACATGTAACAGATCAATTTAAGGTCTGACCACTGTCACACACACACACACACACACACACACACACACACACACACACACACACACACACACACACACTCCTTGCAGATGTGGAAAATCAGTCATCAACTGAGCATAATGGTGCGCCCCATTCTCCTCCCCTTGAATTTCTGCATCCAGAACTGTTAGTTGCTGTAGATCAAATCTGTGAAAAACAAACTTCTGCTTGAGTGCTGGGAAGGGACAGAACATGGGGAAAGTGAACATCTACTTGGCATGGAGTTGCATTGGAGTGACTATTCTGATCGCGGTGAGTGTTTTTCTTTTATTAGATAACAACCCAGTAAAAAAGACATTATCCACTACCAGACCCTGAGTTAGTGTTGTCTTTTTTGGCCTGCAGCTGCTACAGCTGGAGCTCATGAGAGGAAATGAAACTGGTTGGAAATAAACACCAGGGAGGATATGAATCCCTTCTGTAGTTGTGGGGGGAAAGAAAAGACAAAATGATAGAATGCCTTGTAAACTGCTTTCAGAGTGATTACGTCAAAAGTGTTTAAATGATACAGGATGTGTTCTGTTTTTGCTTTTTAAAAACATTTTAATGTTTCAGATGAGGAAATAAACTTCATTATCAGACAGAGATGACTTGAGGAAAAATCTGTTTTTAAATGAGGATTTGAACAAAACAAAAAAAGCACTAATGCCCCATC